GTATACTAGCGGACGTTGGGTGTCATGGCGGGATTTTCTTTGCCCTGTTAGAAGTTATTTTGGGAACTGGAATGTGGCAAGTGAATCTCTCCTTGGCAAAATAATGGCAATATATTTTTTTTTGAAGAAAAATGGCAAGCCGAAGCTTGAAGCAGTTTAAACAGTGCTAGGCATATCAAAAACTAGCAAATGCAAACAAAACGCAGGGCACATATGTATGACACAAATATCCTTTCCTTCAATGTGAGCATTTCTGGCAATTAGATCCGCACATCTCAAAATGTCTTTGGGCATATGTTGAATCGTGATCCCCCAATCGCTATAGAAAAGAACTCTAATCTCCCCAATCAGATCATGTAGTGGATGAGAATGGCTGCTATCTCGAAAGATAATGTTAACAACCTCTAAAGAGTTAGAACACACCTATATATGTTTAAACCCCTATTGATGACAAATATGTAGTCCTGTTTTGATTGCTAACATCTCTGTATGGACAATAATAGTTGTTCCAATAGCTTTCTGAAAACCAAGAACCTAATTCCCTTGCTCATCATGCAAGATTCCTCCACACGCTGCTTCACCAAGTTGATTAACTGAGGCATCCACATTTAATTGATATGTGCTCGAAGGAGTTGGATACCATCCATCAGTTTTGATGGGTGATTTGTAGAAGATTCCATGTTGATACTTCAAATCAGCAAAGTCCTCTAAAATATGAAACATGCTCTTATGTATCACATCTTGGTTATTGGTGGTCGTCTCCTCAAATAATCTGTTGCATCTTGTTCGCCATAAGTTCTAGCAAACGTGACAAAAATTGTGATCCATGGCTACCTTTGGAATCTTTTCTTCCCTAGGTCATTTTGAGTATTCCTCTTGAGCCAAACCTGCAAGTCATCAGAAAAGAGAGCAGATAGATTGTTAGGGCTAACAAAAGTTTTTCACACAGTGTTTGCCATCTCACAGTCTCTCAAAATGTGTATAACACTCTTCACAACCACAATCGAAGGCGCATAAAGAGTCAATAGTAAGGCCTCTTTTAGCTTTGAGTGAGTTCGTAAGTATTCTCTCATGGGAAACTTGTTAAAGAAAAAATTTTATTTTCTCCAGGAGAGGCCATTTCCACAACTTCTTCAACAAATTCTCAGTGGTTCTACTATTCTGATGATTAATAAAGTTATAAGCAGACCTTGACACTAAAGTTTCCATCATTTTTTTGTCTCCATTTGAATATATCCTCATTATCCTCATGATTAATAAAGGGGGAAGAATATTTCTCCAGGAGGCCACATTCCATTGGCCATTAGGAAGCACATGATGTCTAACCAAATCAGATTGATTGATTCTAAAATTGATTCTATCAGCATAGAAGGATAGAGGGTATTTTGACGTTGTCCACCTTTCCTCCCAAAATTTAATATTAAGTCCACTAGCCAATCTTTTTCCAACTCCTTGTATAAAATCTTCCCAAACAGTAGTGATAGCTCTCTAGGTTAAAGAGGAGTTTCTTCTTTTTTTGATGATTGGATAGTTTGCATCACTACAGCCATATTTTGTTCTTCAGCATTTGACCCAAAGAGTCTTCTTATCGTTGAAGATTCCCTAACATAATTTCATAATAAAAGTTAGATTCTACTTATGAAGATCTTTGATACCCAAACCGCCCTATTCTTTAGTTCTTTTGATTGTTTCCCAAGAAATAAGATGCATTTTCTGCTTTGATTCCTCTTAGCTCCATAAAAAATTCCTACTAATCTTCTTAATATCATGTAGGATACCCTTAGGTAGGAGCATGGTTTGCATAAGTTAGCACTGTAAAAAGGACAAGTTTAATCAGCATTGTTCTTCCAGTTGAAGAAAGTGTTTCTTCAAAGACGAGAGCTTTTTACTAACCTTTGTAATTAATAGGAGAAAGGTCAGATTGGTTACCTAAGTATGTATGAGAGGGACACCAAGATACTTCCCCAGATCATTAGTAAGCCCAATACCAAGTAAGTGACTAAGCTCTATGGCTTGGCTAGGTGGAACATTCTTAGAGTGGAACGTTTTAGACCTTAAAAGATTGATCTGATGGCTGGAGGCTCAATAGAAAATCTCTATAGCTTCTCGGACTATCCTCATTCGGTTCTTTGAAGCTTCTACAAAGAGAAAAAGATCATCCGTAAAGAATAAATATGAGATTGAAGGATTGTATGAGGTGAATTTGAAGGGCTTCCAACTACCATTTCTACAAAGTGCTTTAGTGAGTTGACCTAACCTCTCCATATATAGAACAACTAAATACGGGCTTAGAGGATCACCTTGTCTAACTCCCCTAAATGGGGCGAAGGGTTGAGAACTTTCCCTATTCCAAAGTATCTTCATAGAAGTTGAATTAATACAGGTCATTATTAACCTAATGAAATGAGGATCAATTTTAAGACTAATGAGAGCAGCTTTAATGAATCCCCAATCTAGTCTGTCGTAAGCTTTTTCCATGTCCACCTTAAGAGCAACATATCTTTTTCCCAATTTCTTATTTCGCATAGAATGGAGTATTTCCTGAGCTATGATGATGTTGTCATAGCCTTGTCGGCCTGTTAGGAAGCTACACTATTCAGGTCTGATCAACTCATTCAAGATGGGATGCAATCTATTTGCAATAAGCTTAAGAATGATTTTGAAACTTACATTGCAGAGAGAGATTGGTCACAATTCTTTTAGGGTAGAGTAGATGGATGTTCTACCTTAAGAATAAGTACTATATTCATTTGATTCAAATCTTTAACCTTTTCTGGTTCAATAAAGACTTTTTTGACCTTTTGTGCACCTTTTCTCCAACTTGATTCCAGTGAGAGTGGACAAAATGTGCTTGGAGCCCATTAAGTCTAAGGGCTTTGAAAGCTCCCATTGAGAAGGCCACATTCTTAATTTCAATATCATTCACCATTCTCTTAATATTATTTAGATCATCAGTAAAAATATCTGAAAATCTTGTTGGCCAATCAAAAATAGGGGCAACCGTGATGTCTTTGATATAGAGGTCTCGAAAGAAAGTGCTAGCCAAAGTCATCAATCTATCTTTATCATCAATTCAATTTCCATTCTCATCTTGAAGAGTTTCAATCTCCTTTTTTTTTTTTTAACATTGCAGGACAAATGAAGCATGAAAAAAAATTGTATTTCTATCTCCATTTGAGCCAATTGCATCTAGCTTTTTGATGCCACAACAATTCCTCTTGAGCATTTAATTTATATTGATCCCAAAGCTATTTCTTCAGTCTAAAAAGCCCATTACGTTGGTCCATTCTATGAGCCTTGTCAATGCCTTCTGGACTTCTTCCTGGGCATAGCAATAAAATGATTAGATTTCCAAACAGTAGCATCGTTTTGGAAATTTCTGAGCCCTTTGATCCAATTCTCATGCCATGAATAAGTGACAATATCAGAGAAATTATCTTCCAAACTCCAAGCTGCTTGATAAATGAAAGGTCTGCTAAGGTGAGAAGAGTTCAGCTCTGAGTCATTCGAGACAATGAGGATCCTATGATCAAATTTAAACTTTAAGGCGTGAACATTCTTGGAGGTAGGGTAATGACCAGTTGATATTACTAAAGGCCTAGTCAGTCTTCTCTTTAACCCCAGATTTCTCCCAAGTAAAGCAGTTTCCAAATATAGGTAGTTCAATAAGGCCCGTCTTTTGAATGCATTCCCCAAATTCTTCCATAGTTATAGATAAATGTTCACTCCCTTCCGTTTTATCATGCCGGGTGGGGGAGTGAAAAAATAATGGCAATATTAAAAACCAATATATGACAAAAAACGATGAAGCTATAGGTCAGCTCAGCCATGTGAAAAGAAGAGTACTTAATGCAGACGAAAATATAAACACCCCATGTGGATATTGAACGACGTTTGTTATCATCTTTGCCATCCACTTACTTCATTTTAGATAAACGCTTCAAATTTGGATAAGGCTCCACCGCATGCTATTCCCCTGCCAAAATTTCAGTTCATTCGCATTAAATTTAATGATAGATGCAAAATCACAACCAAAACAAAAACCGACGTGATCGGTACAGCCATCATAATGGCGCTATTAATGGAGTTTTATCCCTTTCTTGTGGTGTGTAGTCAGATAAAAAGATGATATGCTGCAGAATACCATTCATAGTGATTATTGATAAACAAGCTTGTTTTGTTCACCTTGAGGAAAATCTAGCTTTTGATTCTTATATATTTAGTGTGTTTATTAGTTTTTATATTTTTTCGAAGTACTTTAAGTTTCATCTAATGTTAATCCTTATAATTTTAAATATCACCATAAGAACTTAACAATAACAAACGTAGACATAATTTTACCTATTTAGTAACAGAATTAACTGAGTTATGTACACATTAGTATATTTAACTCTATTAATGATGATTATACAGACAAATATCAAAATATGCTAAAAATATAATGATCTAAAGTTATATTTTCATAATACTTTGATCTCCCTCTCGTCTCTTGCCTATATTTATGGCCCGGTAAATATGCATCTTCCTGATGTAATTTACCCATTGTTTTAATAGAGAAAATGACTGTTCTGACCTAGTTAGTTTATCGTTGAACTTGCCAGAGAATACTCGCGGAAGAAATATTTTTATCTGAACAGCGAAATCGACGGTCTTTAATGAATACCCACTGGGATTCTGGGAAAATGGAAATACGCGCGCGCACGTGCTATATATATATATATATATATATATTAATTTAATTCAAACAGAGGCAATGTTGCTAATTTTAAGTTCGAGGTTGTTAGCCAGGAGCAGATTCCCCGCAAGCTAATTTTACGATGGATGAGGTCCCAGCCGGGCCCTTTTGCTCGGATACACGACAATGATCTTCCTGCAGGTCAACTAGGTGTCGACCAGCATTTCTCAATTTTCTCTTCTCCAATATATAAATCCCCAAGACATTAGCATATCTCAGGATTATTTTTTACCTTTTATGTTCGATGTGTACGTCACTTCCCAGATCATTGGTTGCCACAAAACCCCAAGAATCCCATAAACTGGTTGTCGCGGATCATTTGAACGCTCTTTTCAATGCCAACCACACCTGAAACCAATAATAATAATAATAATAAAGTACGTGAACTCAGCTCAACATAAACAGCTAGATTAATTCAGTAAGAGGTTGGTTTGAATTAAATTACCCATGGTGAGAGCACTGGCAAAAATAACACCAGAGAGGATGAATACAATGATTGATGCTCGCCCAAGAATTTTGATCAATTTTCTTACCAAGAATTGACCCCAGAACCCCGCCAGAACAGACACTGTTGTGAGGTATAACGCTGCAAACGAAGCAGTTCCTATGATTACATGACTCTATAGCAATCTTCTTTACTTGGACAAAAAATTGAGGAGTGATGAATGAACAGTACCATAAGGAATGTGAAGCCTCTTAAGGAAGTAGAATTCAATCACCAACAAGGATGATGAAAACATCATCACGAATGTTGCCGTAGCACTAGCAACCTGTAATCGGAAATTACAATTTAACATAAGAATGAAAGTTAGGAAAAAGCTGGTTTGAAATATCAAGTATGAACTATGAAGTGTACCTGAGGGATGGCACCGATCTCGAGGAGAAGAGGGCCCAGGATGAAGCCGCCTCCAGAACCTAACAGGCCTCCTACAGTACCTCCTAAGATGCCACAAAAGCCACAAAATGCAAGATTGACAACACTCCATTCTATTGAAGCTTCACATATCAATTCTGGGTTCCCCGTGCTCTTTCTCTTTTTATGCTCCTTGTACAGCTTCACCGCTTCGTACCCGTACAACATTAGTGCCACGGGAAACTGCACAAGAAAAAGAAAGAATCCAATACAAGAATCATTTTTAAGTCCTAAAGTCGGGACCCACTTCTGCATGTTAATCATCAAACCTGTAAGCAGAAAAGAACCCAATACAATGGACCGCAAGTCTTTACGTCATTCTGCAGACACGCACCAAATATGTTTAGAATAAAATATCGAAAACTCAAACAGTTAGCTGGCAACGAGAATTAGAGAGGGAGAGATATTGCCTTGATGACTTGTAGTAGTAGGAAAGAAATCCACACGACCATTAGCATCAGCACCCCACTCCACCTAAGGTTAAAACAAAGATTTTGCTGTACGTACGGTTGAAAAGAACGTAAAACAATAGCCAAATATTCCAAACCGGACGCATATTGCATTTGGCTTCGATGGTGCTCATCAAGCCAAACGCAATATTCCTCTCACCCGAAATGAAATGAATTGTGAGAGTCTACTTAAAAGGAAAAAATTTACATACTAAGGCTGACTTCTCTTCTTTAGGAATCAACGGTTCATATTTTGTATCGACCAGAACGGCATGTTTCAGGAAACGCAGCAACTGTCACTTACTCACTCCAAATATTCTTCTTTCCACTGTTAATAAAAATGATTAATTATCCAATACACTTTCGACTAGTTGCCATCCAAAATGAACCCCAATACAGAAACTACAATATCATAAATAAAAACGTTTACGCTTGTCTTACGTTCATCGTGGGAAGCAGACACAGTCGCTCGTTGTCTGGCCATCATTTCGTTCTGTAGTCACAGGCAGACACAAATTACAAAGAAAAGGCTAATGAGTCGCTGTCTGTAACAAAACGCATCTGTTAATATGGACTACAAGAATATTCGTTGTTCGAAATAATGAAAATTTGACCTTCAGTATAGTCTCCTCCCTCCACATCTCGATTCCCTTGAAGAAGGACCTGGAGGAGGTGCCTGTTCCGAGAAAAACAATTTATTCAGCTTAAGAACTAATGGTTTGCAAGCTAATAATTTTGTTGAGTGAGTGAGGGACGTCGACCTATGAAGAGGACAATGATGAGGACGGTGATGAGCCAATAGGGGAAGACAACGCTGAGGGCAACGCCGACGGTGATTCCAAGCATGAGCATGGGCTGAAACAGAAGGGCAAGATCATAGTCCAATATTGGCACTTCCTTCGTCGGATGGGACACCCTCAAATTGTACCATACTGATGATGCCGATGCCCCCATTATCATACCTGCAAAACTCAACCATAATCCAAATCACTACACAAAGTTAGTTTTTCTGTATTTTTATTTTTATTTTCACCGGCGAAGAATTACTGGTTACATTTGGAAAGAGCAGCAGCAGACTTCGTATCGTATCCGAGAAGAAGAGTGAGGAGCGGGACGAAAATACCTCCGCCGCCTACCCCGCCCACTGTTCCGCAAGCCGATCCCAGAAACCCGATCACGGAAGCTATCGCAAGTCTCCATGAAAACTTGAGATCCTGGATGGAACCAAGAACAGAGCATTAGTAATTTCTCCATGCACACGACAATACAATACACAAGTTAAATCAGTAGGTGAGTGAGACGTGAGAGAGAAGGAGAGGAGAGATACAGGCCAAACTTGATGGGCTTGGACTGCATAAGCAAAAGAACCGGGAGTGGACAGAGACGTTTGGGAAGGGGAGGAGCCATTAAAGAAGGGGACGAATAGCAGAGAGAGGAGAGCAAGGAAGAAACAAGAAAGAAGGTAAATGAGGAAGGCTTTGGTGGACATGGCGGCTCTCCAATTGCATTTGAGGAGAAAAACAACAAAAGGTAACAGCGTGAACGTGGTGCCGGGCGCCGGTCATACTTACGCACACAGCAAAATGCAGAGCCGGGAATGAGGAGTAAATGGCAGCTGAATATGGACGGAATGATGAAAAGACACTTCCCGGAATGCTTTAGATCGTCAATTTATGCGTGATATTAACATTTATTTTCTTTAAAAATAAAAAAGGGGAGCCATCCAAGGATATAGCGATGAATCAGCGACCAAAATCCCCACATGAAACCGAATATTCACCAATGGAAGATTTAACGCTGAAGGCATGCCAGTATTCTCGACTACACTCGTTAACTCTCTCAATCAATCAGTCAGGGCTTTTCGATTCCCCCACACCCCCCCCCCCCCGGGGGCCGGGGGGTTGAAATATCGTTAGTTTTAATTCTCTTTAATCATCTAATTTGGCAATTTCATTTATTAACAAAAATTTACGAATTTTAATCTCCTTGAGAATGTAGTGTATACTTCCGATTTTTCTATCTCTTTTGTATTTAACTAAATAGTGGGCACGTGCATGTGGCAAATTGCATATATTTATATTGTTGGCAATTATTTATGAAAAGTATGATATTTCTTGTAAATTTTATTATATACTGATTGATTGATATGTTTATATTAATACTGTTCGTGATTAACCAATAAATATTAAGTATGTCAGAGACGCTGAGTTTCAATAGATAATAAAAGGAGTCTCGAGCTACTTATTACAGTTCACTCGAATGTAAAAAGATATAAAGCTTCAGTAGAATAAGTGTATAATTTTTATTGAAATGTAAAAAAAATTACAGACTAAAAATTGAAAAACTGAAAAGGTTAAAGAATGTAAAATTTGTGAGTCTTTGATGAAGTATTGACTAGTTTTTTTCTGTATTTTTCCTTCTATTTATAGTGTCAGAATAGTGGAAGCTTTTTTCTTGAAACATAGCACGTTCTGCTGAAAAATCAGAAATCTCACAAAACTTATAGCAAAGTCTCTTCATTTTAATAACCAACCCGTTTCATCGAACTACTTGGATGTAAATTTCAACATTATTTAAGATTGTATCTTCGTGCTAACGGTCTAATATTTATAACTAACAGAATTTTGACATATTTACTTTTTGTGGCTTTTATTGAGCTTTGGAGGCTAGCCCCTTTCATTTATATTGAATTTGACGTTTTAATTACTTAATTCAACTAGTCTTGTGATTTATTGAAATGACATTTCATGTTTAGCCCAAATAAATACCAACAATCAATAAAGGAAAATGAATGGTTTGGGAAATGTTGCACCTGGAGATATCAACGATCTCTTCTTCCACTGCTCGGATATTTGAGGTTCGGGGAATGATTTCCTCGTTGCTTGTTGAAACTTGAAATAATTATTTTCTTCTACAGCTGAGCTGAGAGAATAATAATTCCCTTTTTAATGAGATTCATAAATCGGTTTTATTTCTCTGCTGCATCGTTACGATTCCGTAAAAAAAAAAAAAGACAAACATAATTTTGGTGAAAATTTTAGTCTCAAAATATTATACAATTTTTTTTATAACCAAGTTGTTTTAAATTCTTAAACTTTTTAATTTGTGAATAGTTTTTGGTTAAATTTAAATGGATAATTATTAATTAATGAATGGTTACTTGTTGAAATATAATTTCAACTTGTTCCTTCCTACAACTAAATTCTTTTAAATTATTGAACTAGTTAATTAGTAAATAATTTTTTATTAAATATGAATATATATTTATTAATTAACGAATTGTTCCTTATTTTAGATTATTAAACTTGTCAATTATTAAAGGACTTCTTATTCTTTCACATAATCAAATTCTTTCATATTATTAAATTTATCAATCAACGAATGACTTCTTATTACATGCGAATGAGTACTTGTTAGTTAATTAAGGTTTCCTGTTGAAATATGATATAAAATTATCCCTTCCCACGACTAAATTCTTTCATATTCTTAAACTCATTTAATTACTAAATGACTTCTTATTAAATATAAATGGATATTTGTTAACTCACGAATGATTAATTATCAATTAAAAAAGAGATGTAGAAATGTTATAGTTTTTTCTTATCTAAAATTATTTTTAAATCAATCTATAATTTTTTTTAATATTTTGATCCCTTTTTTTTTAATAAGTGGGAATTCTCATTCACAAGGAAAGAAAAACAAAAACAAACAACCTAAAGAAAAGGTAAAAACCAAAACAAACTAAACTTACAGACTACCCAATAAATCATCTATTTGGTAACAAATCAAAAAAAGTTAAAGCATTAGTCATGTGATGACTGACTTAGCAAGAAAGTCAGCCACTTTGTTGCCCCCCCTTGTTCAAAAAATTAAAGTTTATAGACCAATCTCTACACAAAAGTCTTCTAGCAGGACTAATGATATTTTGGAAAGTATGATAACTGTGATTATCTTTTGTGATCATAGATATTGCATTCACGTAATCACAAAAGACCCCTATTATTATGAAACCTTTCTACCAACATAACTCTAAGCCTTTATAAATATTGAAGATTTTAAAAATAGTAATTGGAATATGCTTAAGTCTTTAATTAAAGCCCAATATCTAAGATTTATTGGTATCTTTGATAACACCACCACATATAGTAAGCTCATTCGTGAGTACAAACCCATCTACTTTCAAGTTAATTGCATCCCGAGGCCTTTCTTGGACAAAAAATGGCACTGGCTGGATATTATAAGCCTGTAATTTTCTTGTTAGCTTGTAATCTGCTACCACCTTATGGATGAAATCATGTTGTTCCTCAAGGATTTCCTTCTCATAGTCATTAAAAAGAATAGAACATCTACATGTTGCTACACCCATCTATTCTGGCAAATATAGGCAAATAGTACATCCTAGCAACTGTAGGCAAATAGTACATCTCATGGAACAATATTTGTTTTAAAGTTTCCCACCTGTGTCGACATATTCCAGCTTATCCACTCCTTGCATGGCATATTAAAAAACTTGTCCTCCAAATTTGTACGAATATATTGTCTCCATCATCTTAGCATGCCAACAATCAAGAAACAGGTGCATTGTATCTTTCACATCATCACATCCAAACGGACACAGTTTGTTGACATGAAATCCTCTTCTCATCTGAAGATCTATTGGGTGGACTTTGTCATGCGCCATTTGTCAAAAAAGCATTTTAATCTTCTCCGATATTTTGATCCTTGTTTAATGTCAATGATATTAATTGTGGTTGCTGAAGTTGACGTTGTGTTGCCGTCCCGGACACAGACAACAAGCAATCAAAGACAATCATCATCGAAACACATGGAAAAATCACATTCAACGGAACATTGGCCCTAAACCCTTTGATTAGGGTTTCGATATACCAATAGGAAATTTCTGTCATTGGAGCCGACTGTGTTACTGCTTCTCTGCCAATGACAAATTGTTTTTGTTTTGTTTTTTTTTTTTGAAGAAAGCATTCAAAATAGCAATCTATTGGATTGTAATGGACTCCCAGCTTCCCTCTTCTAGCTAGATACAACAACCTTGGATCCGTGCTCCTCATGCAGAAAAAATCCGGGTCATTTACATTAATTTTTTTATTTTCATTTTATATTTATTATAATAAAAATTTATAAATTTTTTTTATAAATATGTTCACCATCAATTTGGATAGTAGTTATCTGATTTGAATGATCTAATTTAATATTATAATTTTTATAAATTAACTATTTATATGTATTCTAATCAATCCAAATTTAATATTAAATTTTTATTTGCAATGTCCATTTAAAGTTTAAAATATACATTTTTTAATTAGAACTTTTAAAAAATATTACAAGTTAAAAAATTTAAATTTGAACTGTATAGAATATAAAAAATTTAACATTAAATTGAATCTTAGACTAGATCAATCATGAAAAGATTTATCAAAACTTTTTTATAATTTTTATTTTAAAAAATATAAAATAAAAATATTAAATCAATTCTTTAAATTTGAATGATACAAATTGCATCTACCAAAGATAGATCCCAACAAGCTCCCAGGGGGAGAGCATTCTCTTCTCTTTCTTCCCTTCTCGCCGTAATTCTAACCATTACATCAAAATTTTGGGATGGTATAGATTTGATCTCTTATAAAATATTTGATTTTATTTTTTTACCGTATTTGTTCATATTAACTTTTAGCAGTTTAAATTTTATTATTTATATTTTTCATAATTTAATATTTTAATAATAATTTTATAAGAGATCAAATTTAAATTTTAATTTAATAATTAAAATGGGAAGAGGAGGGAAAAAGAATAGAAAGAAAAAGGAGAGAATCCTCTCCCGGGGCCAGGGACTTCCAGACAGCAATTCCAAAGATCCTGTCGGAGATGATATTCCAAGACTATTGGAATTTGGAACGGTCATTTCTTTGGGGGGGGGGGGGGGAAGTTCGATTGACGTACTTGATCTTCAGCGAGTGATTATTTATTTCATCAAGACTTTCTAAATGTCTTGAGAAAAAATAAATTGTTTTGATCTGGTTGTTTCCTGTAGTCTGTTGCAGACGGGAATTCGAAACACATGAATTGAAATTTAATTTTAATTTCACTGGAAACCTTCAATCTTTGCCAGATTCATTCAATTATGCTTTTCTGACATGATTTTTACTCGCATGAAGAAATTTCGCCTTGATCTGATCTTTGTATGTATTAAAATTATTTTCATCATCAACCAGGTTTATCAAGTATAGACAGGCTTCCATGGAAGCAAAACAAACTTATTACATACATGACATCCGCAAAAGTCAAAAACTATGGCACGTAGATATATATAATTAAGAAACTGCAGGCTGCATCACACACGCATGATACTTGTTGGGCCGTCAATAGTTCTTGCGGTGCTGCACACGGATGGTGCCTTCATCTCCCACCCGTCCCACGTCGTTAAAGGTCTGGTCCGTCATCTGATCTGCTGCTTTCAGAGTATCCGCCACCGCCCCCGGCCGCGTCTCTTCCACTTCGATCAGCACCTCCTCCCCACGCCGTCCCGTCCCACCACGCTCCCTGGCGGCACGTGTCTCCCCCACCACGTCTGAAGGCTGAGTCAGCTTCGACTTTATGGCTTCACCCACGCTCCCAACTGAACCAATTATGTTATTCTTCGCCGCTCTTCCTCTATATACGTATGCATCCAAGCCAAACGTGCACCCATCAACAACAATCATTCACCGGTGATCTTCGGTTCAATTTCAATCTAACTTTATTATATCAAGCAAAAGAAAGACGTACCGATCACTTTCGCTTCTGAATTCATCAGCCTCCCGAATCGGTTCGTTTGCATGCGATCTTTCCCGCAGTTTCAGCTCTTCCAGTTTACGCTTGGCATCGTCCGTTGCTCCCAACTTGTCCTGCATAATCACTGCTTGATTAGCTTTTATTCTCGAAAACACTTGAAAGCCTAATCAATATAGAGAACAATGTATCGATTAGAAGACCTGGACCACTTCCCCTGTCTCATGGGCATAGTTCTTGGTTTCCTCTTTCTTCCCAGAGAAGAAGCCCATGGCTTTGTCCTTGAGCTCCCCGAGCTTCCCCAAGGTAGTGTCCTTGCCTTCTTTAGCTTTATCGGCAGTATAGTCCTTGTACTCCCCTGTTTTCTGCACGGTGGCGTCCTTGGCTTCCTTGGCCTTGTCTGCGGCATATCCGGTATACTCCGAAGCTTTGTCCACGGTGGCGTCCTTCGTCTCCCTGGCTTTCTCCACAAACTCTCCGGCCTTCTGCTTTGTTGCATCCCCGGTTTCCCCGGCCTTGTGAGCCGCATAGTCTTTGTACTCGCCGGCAGTATTGGCGGCGTCGTGGGTCTTACCGACCACAGCCTCCTTGGCGTGCTCGTACGTGTCGTGCACCGCCTTGAACATGGACCCCATAACGCCGGGTCCCTGTTTCTCCCTCCCCGCCAAGAGCTCTTGCTCGCGTTCTCTCAATCTGTTCGCGTCTTCCAGGTCTTTGGCTGCTAGCTTGGCTGCTACCTCGGCTCGCGCCTCCCTGAATTCCCTCTCCGTCGTCCACTGGGACCCATACTCGCGCTCTCTCTCTCTGTTAACGTCTCCTATATCTTTAGCGCTAAGCTTAGCTGCTGCCTCGGCTCTGTCTTCTTTGAACTGACCCGACGCCATTCCTCTCTGGTTGATTGCAGAACTAAGAAATTTTCTTTCCTGAAAGATTTGAGTTGGCTTTTGGTTTCTTGATGCGGTGGCACTGATCCTGATGTTTCTGAGACGAGGAAATGGATGCTTGATATATATACACCGTTAAATAGTAAGGGGAACGGTGACACGTGGAAAAGGATTACTGTCACTATGACACATGGCGGGGAAGGTCCATGGAATGACACCTGGCCACCATACTCAGGATGTGTGACACGTTATCCCGAGATGCATCTTATTTTGGCGTTCCAACTTCCAAATCATATCTTCAAATCTTTTGAGGTCCGCTTCCTATTTTTGGATTCGGGTTTGGGTACGGTAGGGTAGTTTTTACCCGGTTTGTGTTGCTTTATCTTGGGCTTACAGTTGTCTTATTTTGGGATTTGGGCTGGTTTTTTTATTTTTTTAGTGAAAGGAGAATTGAATACTATGAAATACTGTACAAACGGTAGAACAACAGAAAAGGAGTTGCGAAGAGCTAAAAAGCAGAGATTACATCAAAGTTTTCATAATAGAAAAATATCTGGTAGTGTGATTAGTCAAAGCTCTGATGTGGGAGAGAATAATATCTTCAGTGACTGAATCATCAGTAAAAATTCTAGCATTTATGACATTTCACAGTTTCCGGCAGGTGATATTCAGCCCAACCTTCCAAGATTGTTTAAACTTGGTTGATTTTAAACATTACAGCATCCATGTAGTTATGTTGTTTCCATAAAATTCAGTGCACATGTCAGTAGGTAGGATTTTCCTCCAAACAATTGCAGCCAGTGTGCAATCTTTAAGAGCGGGGTTGATATTCTCTATTGGTGATGCAGCATAGGCACATCCAATAGTAAAATTTCCATTAGTTGTCAGGTTCCATAGACATGATGGTGAAGCCTCCGTGGGTGTTACTCTTGCAATGAGATTCAAAGTGTCCTATGGCAATAAGTGCTTGAACAGATGCCATTTCCATTGGCCGTCCCCATTATAATAGTCAGAAATGGGTCTAAGAAGATCCTGGGCAGATATTTCAATATAAACTAGGTGCTTTAAAGGATTGGCTTTTCCGTCCTGCAAGTTTCTGGTGTAGTCTTTTCAATATATATTTATAAGTGTTGCTAGTGACTCTATCATTAATGAGTGGAACGCCTAGATAGCGTCCTAATGAATCAGTATAATGGAAGCCTAAGAGATGGCAAATTCTATTCCAAGTAGCACGCTACACGTTTCTAGAGAAATAAATTTGAATTTTTGCTTGACTTACTTTTTGCTCAAAAGAAATACAAAACTTTTGTAGAACTCTCTTAATTATTCTAATTTAGGATTCAGAGGTGTCACCAAATGAAATCAAGTCATCAGCAAAAAAAATAGGTGTAAAAGAAGAATACCTTTAAGTCTTAATTTAATGGTGTACCAATCCTTATCAACTTCAACCATAATAGCTTAGGATAGACGTTCCATACACAAAACAAAGATGTAAGGTGAGAATGAGTCACCTTGTCGGATTCCTCTCTTAGGAGAGAAAGCAATGGTAGGCTTACCATTCATAGAATTTGCATAGATGGTGTAGTTATACACTGCATAATAAGAGAAATCATGGCTTCAAAGAGTTTGACATCCCTCAACGTATTTTCTATAAAATCCCATCTCAACCTACCAAAAGCCTTCTCAAGATCTATTTTAATTGTCATCCAACCCCTTTTACCTCTTTTTTTCCTCATTGAGTGCATTACTTCTTGAGCAATCAAAATGTTGTCAACAATGCTTCTGCCTTTAACAAAACTCATTTAATAAGGCAAAATAACTTCAAGCATGACATCCTTAAGCCGATTAGCTATTACCTTCGTAACCAACTTGTAGACTACAAAGCAAAGATTGATAGGCCTAAATTTTGATATGGATTGTGGCTTCTAGATTTTAGGAATCAAGGCAATTAATGTGCGATTCAACATAGGATCCAAAGTCTTCCCCTCCCAAAGATCCCTGATTGTCTTCCCCTCCCAAAGATCCCTAATCAGTTTAAAGAGATTTAGCCTAACTATTTCTACTGGTTTTGAAAGAACAGTGTGCGGAAGCCATCAGCTCCAAGAGATTTTAGTGGCTTCACTTCAAATAAGGCTTGCTTAACTTCCTCCATTGAAATCATCGCTCCCAGATTATTGTTAAGATTTATCATCGCTACCAAGTTGGGGTTTTCTCTTATGTGCATTTATAGACCTTTTATTTTATACAACTAGCCATAATCCCATGCGTTACACAATGAGGCAAATTTAATAAGATACAAATTCAAGTAATGATAGTGTAGCTTAAAAAAATAACAACAATGTGTAGCACCTGATCAGGAAGGAAATGATGTATGACTTAACAATAGTTACTGTATGCAGAAAAAAATGCTTTGATAAGGAAGTCAAGCATTTGTTAACAAAGTTCACTATATATGTAGCTCCAAAATAAAGTTTAAAAAAAATCAAGCATTTGTAGTTTTGTGTAGTAAAAATAAAATGTCAACCCAAAAATTTGAAACTCATACAATTGTGTTGCACAAGTTGGCTAATCCATAACATATAATATATGAGTATATCTATCACCATGTGCCACGGGTTAGCTAAATGCATATTATTACTTAAACAATAACTATCATATTACTTATTTTGAATTGATCTACTAACTCATGTGATATTATATATATTAATTTAAGTAATGATAGCATAGTTTAGACAATTATAATAATAATAATATGTGGCATATGGTCAAGAAGAAAATAAAGTATTGTTTAACAAAAGCTATTGTATTTGGCAAAAGAATGTTTAATAAATAATAAGGACATCATTCTTCACTATATAGTTGACTCAAAAATAACGTTCACAAAAAAATAATGCATTTGTAGCTTGGAGGTTTTGGAAAAGACTGGAAGGTTGGAGGCCTCGAAAGATTTTTTGTGTGCATTATATTAATAATATTTGACATCTAAATCAGCAAAATTGAACCAAATATCTAATTATCAATTTATATTTCAAATAGTTTGATTCCCACCTAAACTTCTAGTACAAATAATTTTTGTAAAAATTTAAATTGACACTACGATGCATAATGCACAATATAATGATTTAATTCATTAAGGAAGAGAGAGAAGGAAACAAAGATTGAAAAGTTGTAATTGTTATTCTATCCATTATCCCAGTTTTAAAGGGATAAATGCAAAAATTAATTTTCTTTTTAAAATTAAATTATCTATTTATTCCAAATTGATCTACCGATTTTCATGATATTATATGATATATATATATATATATAATTTAAGTAAGGATGATATAGTTCTAAAAATTATAACCATGATTGGTGGCATGTGGTCAGAAAAGAAATGAAATATTACTTAACAAAAGCTATTATATTTAGCAAAAAATGTTTAAAATAGATGCCATTCTTCACTATATAATCAATTCAAAAACAGCATTCACAAAAAAAAAAAATTCATGCATTTGTATTTTGGAGGTTTTGGAAAAAAAATGAAAAGTTGGAGGTTCTAAAAGATTTCTTTGTGCAATATATTAATAGTATTTGACATCTAAATTAACAAAATTGAACTAAATATCTAATTATTAATTTATATTTTAGATAGTTTGATTGTAATATTCTACAAGCACAATGTTTGAGTGCATTACTTCTTGAGCAATCAAAATGTTGCCAATAATTTTACCAAAAAAAAAAAAAAAAAATGTTGTCAATAATGCTTTGCCCTTAATAAAACTCATTTGATAAGGCAAAATAACTTCAAGCATGGCATCCTTAAGTCGATTAGCTAGTACCTTTGTAACCCCCTTGTAGACTACAAAGCAAAGATTGATAGGCCTAAATATATGGATTGTGGCTTCTGGATTTTAGGAATCAAGGCAATTAAGGTGCGATTAAACATAGGATCCAAAGTCTTTCCTTCCCAAAGATTCCTGATCAAGTTAAAGAGATTTGGCCCAAACATTTCCCATTGGTTTTAAAAGAACAGTGCGTGTAAGCCATCAGCTCCAGGAGATTTTAGTGGCTTCATTTCAAATAAGGCTTGCTTAACTTCCTCCATTGAAATCATCGCTGCCAGGTTATTGTAAGATTTGTCATCGCTGCCATGTTGGGGTTTTCTCTTATGTGCATTTATAGACCTTTTATTTTATACAATTATTGTTTTTGTCCGAAACCCCCAAAAAAAAAGGTGAGAAGATGTTTGAAGTTCTGCGGGAGAAGGGAAGAGGCATCAAGAAATATGGGGAACAAGTTCAACTCTTAAACGAAGTATATACACAAAGAATCTGGTCCTTGAATCTGCAACTTAAAAGAAGTTGGTTCTGTTTCGGCTTATCAAGTTTTGTAAAAGCTCATTTTATTCCCCCGTTATGATCACCATGTCGAGACACTGGACCTCACCTATGTGGAGCAACCTCCCAACTGAGTGCAATGCAACACCTATAGGCTATCAACCCAAGCTAGGCCCACTGTTTGCTCAAGATTAATGTAAACCTAATTCTATTTATAAGTCTTTTGGCATATTTTATTAGAATAAAAAAAATTAAACCTTATTAATTTTGTTTTAACATTTAATAAATTTTTGCTTTTATCTTTTATTTTTAATATTTTTTTAGCATTTGATAAGGATAAAAATATAAAATAAATATAAAAAATAATAAAGTACCTTATATTAAAATTATTTTTTTTACCCTATAAAAGGATTAGAAGAGTATATTTATATCACTTACCATTATTCCGTTGTGTATTTATATTATAGTACTAATACTAACTAGTAAAGTAAAAGTTCTAGCTTTCTTTTGACCAGTGTAATTAATTAGTATTAATTACGAAATTAATTTCTAGTTTGACTTCTTATAAAGCTTTTATATTTTACCCAATAAGAATGATGGTATAAAAAACATTTTACCCTTTACTTTCCCAACCCTCTAATGGCCACATCAAGTGCCACTTTGTCAGCGATTATTCATTTTATAAAAATTGATTGGATATTATTAATGAATAATCTATTAATAGCTAAGTAATCTATAAATATTTATACAAGCATTCTTTAAACTTGAATACCATATTGAGTGTCGAAATCTAATTTGTCCAAAATTTTTAATATAAAAAATTCTCCAAACGGCCTACAAAACTTATAGAAAACCATATTAAATAAATAATATTAAAATAAAGATGAATTTCATTTTTGCCTGCAGAGACAAGCAAACAAGACAGACAAATGTCATTTTTTGCCACGGACATATAACATGACAGCAATAGGATCTCACTTATCATACAGCCAATTTGAAACCCGATCCGAGTAATTAGCCAACCGGGTCAAGAAAAGCAAGAAAACGAGCTATTGATCATGGCGAACTCTAATGTTCAATCTCCTGAGCCATACAGAATGAAGGGCCATATGAAACACATCAAATCGCTTGGGAGGATGATGCACTTCAAAATGCCTCCTAATTTGCCCCACTCTTCTCTGCATTCGGATGTACTGCCTCGAAGAAATACTCATCAGTATATTCTTCAAGTTGGGAATCTCCTTCACCGAAACCTCCACAGAGAAGGATTTCCAGTTCAAAACATCGCTGAACGGAGGCACGTAATGGTCTGAAATAAGCACCGGCACGCACCCCGTGTAGATTGCCTCCGGCACTCTGGGGCTCGCAACCTCGTACCCACTTGGACAGAGGCAGTATTTGCTCCTTCTCAGCATCTCGTAGTACGATACGCCACGTGGAAGGTACCTGTGAACCTTAATATCCTCGTCCTTGTTTTCCCAATGCTCCAGAAGAACAGGCCTGACTGGACCGTGAACCCCTCCAGCGAAGAATGCCAGAATCGGACGCCTAGATGCAGACGGCCCTCCGATGAAACCATTTAGCGAACCCGTCTGAAGGTTAATTTCTGGAATCGATACATCCTTCGCCGGGTTGAATCCCTCGGAAGTGTTGGCATTGCATAGTGCTCGAATTGAGTTTTTGTGCAAGTAAGGAATGGAAAATGAAGTCTCCGGCCCCTGAAACACAACTTAAATTCAATTGTTTTGCACGACACGTTTTATTGTGTGTGTTCTTATGAATTGCAAAAACTGCAAGTGAAGCGAGATCAAACTCAATTATACCCAGTCATGGCAGGCAAGTGTGAAGTGATCAGCTCCTAGGCTTCTGTTCCAATAAGGGTATCTCGAGGCAATGATATTGACATAATCTGTGACGGTCTTTTTTATGGGTCCAAAATCATGAGAGTCGCTAACATAGATGAACCGCACCAACATTGTTACACTATAAGGAAGGAAGAAAACGTGTGCTTTCTGAGGGTCTCTTGTTCGGAATTGGTCATTCACCTCGATTGCATGAATAAAATTCCCCTCCATTGAGTATATGCTCTTGCAAGGTCCATTATGGAAAACTGGAGGCTCCCCTTCGTCGTACACAAATACTTTGAACCGTTTCTCCATTTCCAAGTAGCTCCTGTCCCAGTAATATTTTTTCAGGGGATAATGAGTGGAGTAACCTATATGATAGTGAAACATAGATAAACAATCAGAAAGATGACGCTCTTCACTTGGTGTGCTTCTGGGTCGTATAGTACCTGTGAAATGCATTGGCATTATGATACATTGGACCTATTGGGACATAGTCTGGATCTCGTGTCTGATTCCCATTTCTGGCTCTTCTAATTGCAGATCTAGCTTTGAGGAGGCCAGCTTCTGTCCTATCTAGGAGGCTGTACTTTTGTGGCTTGCTGTGTCTCGTCATGACAGGAACATACGACTCATTCAAAGGCGCTGAGATGGGCCTGGGTTCGGCGACGCTGAGGATTTCTTCAGTTCCGTTCTGCTGTCATTGACCATGGATTCAAGTCAGTGGGATTAATCAGTGTCATTAAACTCGCGGATCGAAGTCACGATTTCTTTGCTCGTTACCAATTTTCCTAGAAAATCAGTCAAAAGTACCCTTGTTTTATGTAGATAAAAAATTAATTAAAACAATATAATTGACTTCAGAAATCAATACTGCACAGCGAAGTTACATGTGGAGTCGCGTATAAAACAGATTTTGTTTCGGAGAGATGCTGGAGTTGTAAACAAGTTAAAGGGATTTCTTACAGATTGTTGAAGCGGTGGAACAAAAGAAAGTGGAGGCATAGAGGAATGATTGGGCGCAGCAGTCTCATTGTCCTTACTGTTACTGATAGCGTCGACGTTGACCACCTCGCTTGAGCTTCTATCCACAACTACTTCTGTCAGTTTCTGAGGAGGAGAAGGATTAACAGAGCTGAATAGGAGAGGTTCGGTAGCATCCCAGAGGGAGGCGTTTGGACCCAACACAGAAATGAAGGCCGCGACCAGAAGAAGAGGCATAATAAACAACACAGGTTTGAGTGGCGTAGATGAATACAAACCCTGCCATGGACAACAATTTGCTTTGGCATTGACCATTATTGTTTGCTATGCGGAAGCCCAGTCTTCTCTGAATTGGGACCTTAATATAACAGGCATGCTAGCTTCAACTTCACAGGTGTTGGTCTATATGTATCAGGATAGCAGAAACTGGGGAAAGTTTGTCATCATTTGTAGAGGGAGAGAGAGAGAGCATGAGACAGAGAAACGGATTTTGACGGAGTGAACGTGGAGGGTGAGGTGGGAAGAAGAAATGTTGGCAGTAAATGGTTGGCGTTATGAGGCCAAGCGTCGTGATACTGCTCCCTCAATATTCGAGATTTTCATGCAACTTTTTGTATTTCCTTTCATGCCCTTTCATGCGTTTCCCTTTTAAGTTATTCTCTGGCCTCTGGACCCCTCCTCTCTTTCGCTTTCCTATTTTGTCCTTCCTCTCCGTCGTCTTTTAATGAACATGGCAACAAATTTGAAGTCAACTGTTTTATACTCTTTCCTTCTCAAAATATATAACATTTTTAATTACATTATATTTTTAATAAATTAATTAATTAATTTTAAATTGATATTATTTTTTATTTTTATTTAATAAGATGTCTGACTTAAAAAACAAAATATTGAATTATTTGTTTATTAAAAATAATTTTTAAATAATTTATTAATTGTACCTTAAAATTTTTTGAAGTAACTTATATTTTTCAATATTTAACCTTATAAAAAATACTTTACATATATATATATATATATATTTAAAGAGGGAGTAAAATTTATTCTACTTGATACAGTGGTGGTGAAAATATAATAATAGTATTTATTGAGTTTTATTTATAAATTATTTTTAACATATTTTATTGAACTCAATAAAAACTTTAAAATTGTCTAAAAATTTAAAATTTTTTTAACTTTATTCATGTTAAATATACATACTTTAATAACATGCTACTTTGGTACTTAATATAAATTGAAGTTGACAAACTTTATACTTATTAAGAAATATTAGTTGTAATCTTGAAAATATAAAAAAAAGGAAAAAAGTCTAAATTTTCAATTTTACTCTTCTTTATAATTAATGAGTACAATAAAACTCAGCCCAAAAAAATGACTATAATAAATTATTTTTTAGGAATTCAAATAATAATAAATAAACGATGGATAAAATTAAAAGAAATAATTATTCCACCTTTTTCTTCTCAAATCTAGAACAAAAGATTTCTGCATTGAGGCTATTAGTTTGATTATTAAAAGATGCAAACCATCACACTCCTTTCAAGATATAATAGAGGATATTCCTTTTTTGTTTCACATGGATTGAAACATATTCATTTATTATTTTAGTAGATGCTCTACTACATATGTCGATTATATTATTAAGATGTCTTATAGATTAAATATTAACTTTTACATCTTTAATTATCTCTACCTTTATTACAAGAGGCTATGAATGATGAGAGTATTTAGTATATTATATATTATTGATATAATCTTATTTTAATTATGAATGCATTCCTTCAATTGAAACAAAAAAGAAAAAAGAAAAGATTTCAAACTTTGTCTTCTATCACGAACTGGAGGGAATACTTTAAATGCATAATTTTCTTCTATTAACATTTAATGAAAAGTAAAAGAGAATTTGCAATGAAAAATCAATGATTTGACTTAAAAAAAATAATAAAATTCTTCTCTCTTTGTATTATAAATAAGATCAAAGGAGTATATTTTAAATTTGCTTATCTTTATTTTTGAATATGTATAACATATTAATTAATAGCATAAAAGTTTCATTTTCCAACAACTTACAATGTTATATTGATACGTCTTAAATTTTTTTAAAAAGCATGTATATGCACAAAATAATACTAGGAGAATATATAGAATTTGTATCGGATTCTTCAAAGTGTGAAGTTAATAAAAAATTTTACAAATCCGAAAATTAAAACCAGGAAAACACTTTTTGATTTTTATATTTTGGAGATCCAGCTCAATTTTAAAGCTTGGATTACGCTGACGAACGATGATACCTTGCTCATTAAAGTGAAAAAACTTTAAGCGGATGGTTATCTTCCTTTCTATTTCATATGAAATGTATTTTAAGGAATCCAAATCCCACCGTACTTGTTAGTCATTTACAAGTTTCTCTGGACTTTGTGCCTGTTCGCATAACAGGAAAACATGCGTTTTGGATCTAAAATTAATTTTCCCAGCAAATTATCCAAACAGTCAGAAAAACATGAAAATTGATTCTGAGCCCATACGCATGTTTTTTCGTAAATTATTTCCATCCGCTTTCTGCCAAAAACTTATCCAAAATGTTGGGAAAAATTATAAAGACAGGCCCAAGCAAAAATTATAAAAAAAGCACATAATTTAATAAAAATAAATCAAACTCTCTTCTTTTCTCCTTTTTTTTTCTTAATAAAATTTAAACTTTACATCTTTAAAAAATTGATATTTGGTATTTAAAAATTAGATTATATAGTAATTTATATAGTTAAAAATTAATTCTGATTAAATTATTCAAACATCTTTAATTCTGTTAAAATTAATTTAAAAAAATAGTATTCAAACAAATTGTGTTATAATATAATTAATTATGATTAAAATCTATCACTTAATTAATTATTTTTATAATTTATTATGTTCAATTGAAATTCAAACAGATCCTTTATTTCCTGACGAGAAAGGGGGCGGGGGGAACAAAAGAAAGAAGCAGCTTTATCCGTTGGCGAATTGAAAACTCTAATCTTTTGTGGGATGCCTAGTGAAAACAACGAAGTCCTCTCGAGAATTTAAAAAAAAAAAAAAACAGAGGTCATGACAACGAGAATCTTAATAAAAGAATTGGATTTCACTTTTCTTTTCAAATTAATAATGCAGATTTTAAATTTAAAAAATAGAAAGCCGATGGGCTTTAACAATTGAAATTCCTTTTCAAATGCCAAAAGAATGAGTTATCACTGACACGCACATATATTGATTTTTAAAGTTACTACCTTTGCTCACTGAAATTGTAATTTAATCTCCTGAATATCATAAAAATATTTTGGATATTTTATTATTAGTGGTCACATTAAGGCATACCTATCAACTTAGAAAAATATGAATATTAACGCGGGTTAACAATTTCTCATTTCTTAAGCAAATAGTATCCAAGAGAATACTCTTAATCCACACAATAAAAAAATTTCGATGCAATAAATTTTATGCTACTAATAGAGTCAACTACATATAATTGTATGATGCTATTATGGATAACAAAAAACGCCGGAATTCGTAAGCGGAAGGCTGAAGTAAGGATCTCGAGGGCATCTTGGGAAAGTTCAATCAGCACCGGAGTTTTTATATCATGTTGATTACAGTATAAAACCCATTCTTTTTAACCATTAAACAAATGCTACAAATTGGGCAGAACTTTATCAAAAATGGTCACAGTCCAAGCATGAACTTTCTCTTATTACAAAATTAAAATTAAATGTAATCAAGCAGAGCTAGCTCAGCATGGCCATTTTACCCAAGGCACATTTCCAGGAAGCTAAATTGCAGATATCTCGATCCACGTTTATGGCTTTTAAATTAATTAGTGGTCCTCCTTGCCAGAAGCGTACGCCAGTGCCAGCGGGCATCTTGCTTGACTGCACACTTATTTTGAGCTTAATCATACACAAATATGGAACATCAAATGAATTCGGCCGCTGTTACCCTAACAAAAATGGTAAATAGGCTGAGAGCAAGCACACGCCAAATCAAAGTCATGTCAATATTGAGAATGCATCATTATCAATGTCATGCTAGTTTTGCACCGTGAAGAATTTAAAAAAAAAAAAAAAAACCTTTTTTCTTCTCATACTCTGCTTCGGAGAACAAAAATTAATCACATCCCGTGATTTAAAATCAGGATAAGAAAATGGTACGCCACTGAGACTGAGTTATTTTTCACCGTAAAATTAGGCATTTCAGACAAGAAAATTTCATCAGCTAAGGAAAATGCTCGGGGCCCCTACCTTGCAAGCTTTTTAGTGTTCTCAGTTCTCAAGGTGATGCAACCAAGCAGATGCAAATGCTAATGAGGAATGGGGCATATAGAGAAACGCGGGAGCTGTGAAGAAGTGTCGAAAGCCCTTACTCATGGTTTAGTCTCAACTTTCATCTATTTAAGCCCAAGCTGTTCTTCAAAACTCAAGCTTTTTCTGCTGATCTTTGTTAACATATATGATTATACACTCCTCTAAGTTTTTCCTCTACAATTACTGTCATGGGAATGCACAACTGAGCTTTTGGCGCATAATTTACAGAGATGAAATGACGATCTAACATTAGAGGATTTCATATCCAATCCAAACATAAATTAAAAACGCTTACATTACAATAGATAAATTACTTATTATGATAGGAAGAAACCACTCACTACTCTTCTCTACAGGGTACATGTATGTGCCTTGAGGCCTATTCTTTACCACTCATCCCTCTATTGTACCCAGACCATCAGATAAGCTTATGCTAAGAAGAAGATAATATTAATCACAGGTCAGGCTGCCATCCTCAGTGCATTAGAAGCTGAAAGTCATCATCGTTGTTTACTACAGTATAATCATATCCAAGTCTGTCAGCACGATCATGGAACTCTGCCATCTCACTTTTGGGTACCTGTATCCCGACCAATACATTCGCGCCAGTTTCACCCTGTTGGAGAGAAAGTACAAGGATGAAATTAGTCGCATTGATTAAAAGGGAAAACACCTCTTATCTTGATTCAGATTTAGACAGAAAGAATAGCGAATTTTGAATCCTCACCTCCCCTCGATAATGGAATAAACTGATATTCCAGCGTGGACTGAAAGAATCTAAGAATTTCACCAGAGCACCAGGTCTTTCCGGAAAGACAAATCGACAAAGAACCTCATTCTGAACATCTGATCGACCTCCCATCTGAAACGTAATCAAAAGTAAGTCAACATGGCACAATGCCCACAGACAACATCATATGTGCGATAGGTTATTCCACCATTCATTGGAGAGTCAAATAGTGTTGAATGCAACTTATTATTGACTCGCAGCTAGACCACCATTGTAGAAATTATACTACAGACACTCATTACAACTAATGTAAGAACTAAGAATAACAAGACTTCCAATTAGAGCATAAACCAGCACCTAGTCACGGGGTCTAAAAATTGTTCAAGAATGTTATTGTGTCAGAAAGAGTTGAACAGAAACAAACACCTTAAATAACGAGTGTACAGAATTTGATATTTGGTGATAATGTTGAGGAAATGATAAAATAAGATAAAATGGATTAAAGTACGAAGAAATTTTGCCAGTAAAACTTACCAGATATCGCAAGTGATCCTTCACCAAGTCACTCTCTGTGAGATTGTAAGTTTTAAGCTGAGAAGATTCCATTCTCTCCTGCATTGCTCTAAGTTCTGAAACTGTATGAACCCCAACACTACACACGATTTCAGAGGATAATAAGTAATCCTTGAAAAACTGTCAAAAGATAATGTGCTGCAAATTAAAATAAATGATAAGAAAAACAATCTAAGCTTCCTTGTCATTAAGCTTACCTGTATAGGACAACGGCTTTCTTATCAGAGTTATATCTGTACTTGAATTCTGTAATATTCATCTTCCCCACCTGCCAGGGCCAAAGTTAAATGGACTCAAGGCATGTTTGAGAGTATATAATGAAACGAAAAGGAATTGTCATTGATTGAATGGAATGGATTGAAGTGGGAGGGACATTCCATTATTTGGGAGTTTTATTAGAGGAATAAATGATTTATTTAATCGTTATTTAAAAATTACTATAAAATTAATAGATTTGAATAGGATATCAGTATGCTTTTCAATTTTAGGATGAAAGGGAGCGAAAGAGTGAGAGGGGTGAGAAAGATAAGGGTAATTTTATAATAATGTTATTTATATCCTCGACCCCCACCCCCTCAATTGGAGGGTTGGAAAAAATAGATGCAGGGCTAAGAATGGCTTAGAAGACCACCCCAAAAAAATTCTCCTAAACAATGGTATAAACCTTTTAGCTATCCCACTCCATTTCATCCCATCCCATCCCAAAAAAAAAAAAACTCCCAAACACTACCTCAGAATTTTCAGTTAAGGCTCAGTATAGACATGCCAATTGACAAAACTGCAAGAATTTCAATTACAGCAGTGTAGGCATACCAATTGACAAAACTGCTTAAAACTGCCAGGTTCCTCTGGCAAAATAGTTGCCAGCACAGCCTCTTGCTTTCTACCAACATTAGCTAGTTCAGTTACCACCCTCAGCTTGTCAAAATTCATGTTGGCCCCACTGGTGACTGCTACAATATTTTCCCCCCTGAGGCCATAATATTTACAGTATGCCTCTGCTCCAGCAAGGGCAAGGGCACCTGCTGGTTCTAATATGCTTCTTTTCTCCTCAAACATGTCCTGCAACAAGCTCTACTATTGTAAGATCTTAAGAGTTCAAGTCATGTGCTGTGATTGCCATGGATTCCAAATGCATTATACAAACCAATGAGGAAAATCAGGCACCACAATAGAAGCAATAAAAAATTACATTTGGACTAATAAGAACATGTTCTGTACTGAGAAAGAATCAAAGTATGCCCAAAAAAAGGAGTCTGAGATCACCTAATTGAAGCATTAGTGCATTATTCACAAAAACCACGCATCCTTTTTTCACTCTGTTAAATTCGGTAAGTGATAGATTAATACATCCGGTGTTACATAGAAACATGTTCTTGCTGCCATTTCCATTCCACTTTCAATCTCCTTTCAACAACCTCAACTAGGAATGGGAAGGGGTTGAACAACAAAAGCATCACTGACACAATGCACACAAAAGGGTCAAATAGTCTTCTAGTTACTCAAAAAGCAACGAACAATTTGTCAAATGTTACTCTGGCTGTGATATGCAATGCAAGATACCTCACCATTTCTCCATTAGAAACTTGACAATTTCTGTCAACTCATAAGTTAAGCTCCTTTAGGAAAAATGAAAATTCCAACTTCATAACCCTATGCATGAGCTATCAAGAAGATCTTGATCATATCAACCACTTTGCAACAGAACAATAAGATCTACACAATTCCTTTCCCAAAAAAAAGATCTAATTAATTCAAGAATTTAGAACTAAGTTCAAATAAAAACAAAATGGATTTCTCACATAAGATGATCTTGGAAAAAGTAAAAAATGCAATAACAGCTGAAAAACCATAAGGAAATTAACTCAAACTCATCACAATAGACAAGCACAAAATTGCAAGCTTTCACAAGCGAGACCCTCACCTTTATTGAGGCACAAATTGAATCACGGCTTACAAGAACCACACCATCTACCAAATCCTTGCATAAGCGAAAAGTTTCTTCACCAACCTCTTTAACAGCTACACCATCTGCAAATCCTCCTACCTTGTCCAAAATCACTCTCTGACCATGATGTAATGACAATGCCATTGCATTTGCTTCTGTGGGCTCTACTCCAATAATCTTTACCTGCACCACAGATGTCAATAGTTATTCCTCTTGCTATAAATCATGCCATACAATGTAGAGAGAACAATCATAATATCTTGCCAACCTGGGGAGACACCCGCTTCACATAAGCAGCAATGCCAGCTATCAGACCACCACCTCCCACTGGCACAAATATTGCATGAACTGGACCTTGTATTTGGCGAACAATTTCCATCCCAACTGTTCCCTGGCCCATAATGACATCTGGATGATCAAAAGGAGGTATGAATGTTCGACCCTCCTCTTTTGCACGTTTCTTGGCATATGCTTGTGCCTCATCGTAAGAGTCCCCAACTAGAACAACTGTAGCACCCAGCCTTTCAACAGATCGCCACTGAAATTGAAGGAGGGTGGGGGAATCAAATCAAAACATATAACTTAGTCATTCAGACTTATGCTCACAACATAGCCACAAAATAATAATGTCATGATGATGATGATAAATCCACCTTGATTTCTGGAGTGGTTACAGGCATAGCAATCACAGCACTGCAATTCAATCTCTTAGCAGCTAATGCAACTCCTTGGGCATGGTTTCCAGCTGACGAGCAGATTACACCTTTTTCCAGCTGTTCCTTTGGAAGTTTGACCATCATGTTATAAGCTCCTCGGAGCTTAAATGAGAAAACCTACGGATGGGAAAAATTTCAGAAGCTCAAATTATGTTCACTTTCCAGCGAACTATAAAAAAAAGCTCTACCGCCAGAAAAACTTTAGAAGCTCAAATTATGTTCACTTTTCAGTGAACTATAAATGAAAAAAAAAAAAATCTACCGCCATGGCATATCAATTATCAAGTTACATTCAGTTTGTAAATTATGCTCGCTGAAATCTTATCATGGTATTTCATGTTCATTTATGTTCTGCTAACTCCTAGAGGATCCATTCTACTTCAGAATTCCTTTGATACAATGCGAGAAAATTTAGTAAAGCATAATAATATCTGTCACAGTCAAATCATAAAGAAAAAGGAAGAAGGATACTGAAGAAAAAATTATCAAGACAAACTAGTATGACCCTAAATGATAGAACATCGCTATATTCCTATACTTTGGTGGAAATCTCAAAACACGTTGCGGCCATTTACACAATTCATTTCCCAAGATACCATTTTGTTTCCTATGATCTGCGATCAAGACAGAAAGATGATCGAGCCTTTGAGTACAACGATTATAAGACACAGATACCAAACTAGAAGTTAAAAGTCAGCATCTGGGAAGGAAGCTCAAATGAAAACCCGTCCTCCACAAGCACGAGTGCACAGACGGCTATTGTGAAAGGGAATTTTTTTTAACGTTTGAACATAAGGTTAACGATCCCCTCTTTAATGCAGACAGACAATAACTTACTGGATTTTATGATACTACTATCTCCACTAAGCTTAAGAGAACTTAAGAACAGATAACAAATTAGTCATGAGTAAGTCATGATTATTTCATACCAAATCAATATCTGAGCCAGATATATAGCAGGAGCGCATTGTGCATATAGAGATGCAGTTTGCAAAATGAATAGAAAACAACACTCAAATCCATCCAACATCACTAAAGATTGCAACTTACAGGCTGTAAATCCTCCCTTTTGAGCCAAAGATTGACCCCCAATCTTTCCGACAGCTTTGTCGCCAGCTGGAGCGGCGATTCAACAGCTACATCATAGACCTTGGAAGAGAGTATATTCGTCAGGTAACCCATGGCATTGATTATGCTGTCATTGCCATCACCGTCAGTGCGGTCCGGGACTGCCCCAAGGTAACCAGGTGGATACTGTAAGGAATCAGGGGATACCCTGGGACGAGGGGGTACAGAAGTCACGGCCAACGGATCTTCTCGAGAGGCAACGTTCGAGGACGAAGATGGTACGGAGGTTACCTCGGCCGCCGATTTGGACAGAGTGGCAGTAATGGAGGGCTTGGCAGACCATCCTCTGGCAAATTGATTTCTTCTGGGGTTGCCAATAAGGGATCTGCCTGCTAAGTTCTGCAAACGCTCATGACGAAGAAGGGGCGACTGGGTGGAGGAGAATGACAATGCCTCCATGGTAGCGGAGGGAGAGAGGAAGGAGATGGAAATTGGAGACCAGAAAGCAGCGATCTGAGTCTGGCCGCCCCTGCAAGACGAGTGACAGTGACGTAAATGAAATGATGACATGTGAATTGTTCAGCTTGAAAGTATAAATGTGGTACTTGGAACCACGGGGCGGCCTAGCTATATTGTTAGGGTTTACCCAAACTTATCCCACGTGGAAAATGCCCTTCGCCAATGTTACATCTCAACTTAGAGGTAAATAGCAGAGATATTTTTTCTAGTTCAATTTTATTTTCACCCTCAATTATATTCAAGGAGCATTTAATATCTTGTACTATTCTTTGATCCATTATTGTCCTTAAACCTTCAAAATCAAACAACTTTTGTCCCTCTCGTTAGCTCCAATTAAATTTGACCATTGAGTTATTTTGTTGACTAAAATGGACATTGAAACCCACGTGTCACTGGATGTTCCAAGTAATCTCATGTCAACCTCACATGTAGAGCCGTCAATTAGGGCCGAACTCGTAGGGCCGGCCCTTTTTAGGCCCAAAAAAATTGAAAGCCAGGTTTCTATTTTATTTTTAAAAAAGTAAATCGGGCTTAAAAGGGCTAGCCCTTTTAGGCCCGAAAATAAAAGGGCCGACCCTTTAGGGCCAGGGCCGGCCCTTTTAGGCCCGTTTATAATTTTTTTAAATTATAATATAAAAAAATAAAAGATTAAATACATAATTCAAAGAAATAAACATATTAAATGCATTCATCCATCTTTCATTTATTTATTAAGATTTGGTGATAATATTAGCTAAGTTTAATTTTTATTGGTATTCACTTTGATGTTGCTATTTGATATTAGACCTAGATATTTTAGTTTTCTTTATTGTTGTGGTGTAAAATGATTTAAATTTATTTTCTTAAACTTAATGTTATGAATAATAACTTTTTTTATGATTATAAATATATATTTTATAATTTTTAATTAAAAAATAATTTTAAAAAAATAGGGTCGAGGCCCTGAGGGCTGGCCCTTTAGCCCTGAGGGCTAGGGCCGGGCCTTAAAAAATGGAACCCTGACATATAATCAGACTTATTAGGGCCAGCCCGTTTAGGCCTTGGCCTTTAAGGGCCGGCCCTTTAGGGCAGGACTGGCTCTAATTGACAACTCTACCCACATGTATAGTTGGCTTTCTCGTTTCCCTTTTCATCGCCAACCCATATCTTTCTTTCATCTTCATCTCTCCTCTCAACTCTCCTTGCTCTTAACAACAATAGATCCCAACTCTTCTCTCTCTCTTCCATCTTTCTCTCTTCTCTCGACCCTTCCTCTTAACATCATGGCCAATCATCATCTTCAATGAAATGCTCGCCTTAACATTATCAATACAACGCCACACATAACATCCTATCATGGTAAATAGGATTACACAAAACGCTAAGTGTAATTACCATGATAAAAAAGGATTAACGTAAAATCATATTTAAAAAAACAGTTATAAAGATTTGGGATCTGAAGAAACTCTTAAAAGTTTATTTAAGCTTAAATATGGAATGAAATATATTATAAAAGTATTACAGAAGTATGACAAACAAATAAACACAAAAAGTAACACTACAAGAGAAAAATAAACCTTTTTACCTATACTACACCATTCGCCATGGCAGAAGTGTCATCCGTTGCAATCAATGACACAAAGGGGGAAGTCCTCTTATTATACCATGTGCCGCAACACACATATCATAGGTCGTAGCACATGCTACAATCATGACAACATTAAACAGTTATGACAATAACCCCAACTCAACTTCCAAAGTGTGTCATTTTGCCATCTAACATTTGATTGGAGATATTCAAGTCCAATATAAAGCTAATTTGATGATCTAATTTATGACACTGATTTCACACAAAAAAATAACCCATTTGAAAATGGAACACCTTAATGCAAAGTAGTTACTTTAACACAACTATTAGCTTTCAAGTGTTAAAAAACCCCAAAACCAATGCTGTTAACCTTAACTGAGGTTTAAACTGAGTTCAATGGACTATCTTACACCTAATAGAGCATTCACAAATAAAATATCATAATCCAGATAATATTTAGCTATAAACTCCCTATTATCAAACATTAAAAAGGGCAATTCACTAAATTAATTCATTAACCTAAGAGATCACCTAATTAGGCACCACAATAAGTTTAACATCTCAATTTATATAGTTGCATTGGCAATTCGGCCTTATTATGTAGTCACAACACCAAATTACATATTCTCAAGCCAAAGTACACCATAACAACATATATAATTCATGCAAGTGTAACTAAAACAAGCATGCAACCTAATTGGCAATATAAAATTACATATATTCAAATTACACATATAATCAAAAGTCAATGAAGCATTACAAAATTAGAATTCAAATCTACTATTTTCCCTAGTTGCCTTCTCCCTTGCTCCTATTGACGATGTCACTTGTAAAATCATAACAGTAGAGCAAGACAAAGTCCCATTAAGCAACGCTATTTATCAACTGGCTAAAACATAAACAAGTATGTAAAGTGGGAGAACATTTTAAAACATATAGTCAAGCATATCACAATGTAAACATATATCACGGTTTATACATGCATGATCCCAATGCATTTGAACCTCCTCAACGTGGGCAATCAAATCCATAAGCTAAACACACAACTAGGTCAAGTTTATGTAACTTGACAGACTCAAGCACACTGAATAGGGAAAGCAACCTTGCCAAGGTTACATTTTACTTCCGAACTATGGGTTCCCTCTTTTAGAATAATCAAGGTGTTGCATACCTAACTACTAGTACACACGGTGAGCTAAGGCTTCCAAACAAACAATACTGAATACTACGGCTACTTATGATGTTAATAAGTACCATATAGTTTTTCACACTACTCCACACTCAAGGTGAACCTTCTACCCTCACATGCTTACAATCAAGCATCATGTAACATCTTAAAATTTAACTCCCTAACTTAATTAAACTAACTAAGGGTAATTAAGTAAATTTAAATGAAATTTAGGATAAAGAAGGCCAAAAGGCCTATTGAAATGTGGCTACAACTTGAGGATTAGGTCTAAAGTAGTGTTGGGTCACCTTAGCATTAAAAGGGAAAGAAAACATAAAAGAGGCATTACTTTGCCACATGTCACAACCTATGTAAGGTCCATCATGGCTTATAGGTCACCTTACGAAGGGAAGCCTCTTTGTACCACAAGTTGTGGCTTATAGTCAGATTTTGACAGCAATATGAGCGTGTATCAATTAAAAAATGGAGAAAGAAATAGAAAGTTTAAGTAAGAGGAATGTAACATCATAAAAAATTTAACCCCTAATTAACTAAGTAAATGAGGTTAATTAAATAAATTAATATGGTGTGTGATTATAAAGAGTTAACGGATATTTTAGATTGTGATTTCCACTTTAAAAGGGTAAGAAAACATAAAAGAGGCATTACTGTGCCATATGTTGTGGCCTATATGAGGTTCATTGTGGCTTATGAGTCACCTTATAAAGGGAAGCCTCTCTATATCATATGCCACAGCTTATGGTTAGATTTTGATAAAAATATGAGCATGTATTAGTTAAAAAATAGAAAGTTTAAGCGAGAGGGATGCAACATCCTAAAAAATTTAACCCTTAATTAATTGAGTAAATATGGTTAATTAAATAAATTAATATAGTGTGTAGTTACAGAGAGTTAGATGATGTTTTGAGTTGTGATTTCAACCTTAAGATTAGGTTTAAAGTGAAGTTGAACCACCAAACATCAAAAAGTGAGAGAAACAAAGGGAAATGACTATGTGTCATGTGCCGTAGTGCATATAACATCTTAAGTTTTTCAATTAGTAATTTTTGGTGTCTCTAAGGGTAAATTAGTCAATTTAAATAAATTATTGATTAATGAGATTTATAAGAGACTAATATAGTTTTTGAATTCTTGAACCCCCTTAGAAGAGGTCTAAGTCGATGTTTGAGTAGGCCATAGTATCATGACCAAGAGACCAAACTGTAAAGTCTTCCTTACTAAACCAAGTTTGACTCCAAATCATGGCAACTTAAGGTTTAACCCTCAAGGATTACTAAATTATAAAGTTTTATAAAGGAAATTTTTTGAATTCTTTTAAAGGAATCCCAATTTCAACAATTTAAATCTCAAATATTATTTAATAAGTCAGTATTAAAGTTTTGAAGGTAAAGCGAAAGCTGAAAAATCAATTGGGACTCAAAATAATGAGTCTTAAAAATTAAAAATAGATTTTATGAAGAAAATGACACATGCGCCGCGACTTACGGCATGTGCGCCATGGCTTGTCTTCTCTGTGCCATGTGCTGCGATGCATTACATGAATTTTGACAGCATCAATGCTATCATTTAATAGCATAGGGAGCAAACTTCTGACATGTCCCAAATCTCTGTTTGACATTGATTGAGGTTATTTCAGTGTCTACACGGAGCTTTCTCCCAACTCTAGCTAATAGCATTAGTTTTTCAATCAAACTCATTTTTTATAAAAAGTTGAACACCAAAACTCATATTGACCACTTTTTATAAAATTTCATAAATGAGGATTCTCAACTTAACCACACGTGCCAATAGCTCACACCCACCATCTGACCATACTCAATGGGCTCTTGCAGACTCATGCAACACGTCACATATAGCCAAAAACACTTATATCACAAAATCACTACTCAACCTTAATTTTTACAAAACATAAAAAGGCAGAAAATGTTATACAAAATCATCAATTTCATTCCAAATCTCTCAAAATACATATGTTTCTACTTGTACAAGCATTTCAGCCCTATCCACAGGTTTACAACCCAAACTCTCTAACCCAAGGCGTAAAATACACTAGTTACATACAAAATCATGCAAGTAGTACATATATCATACAAATGATCCTAGTTGGTAGTTACATTAACAAATACACATGAAAGTAATAAAAGAGAGGCATACAAAGAATTACTCCACAATCCTAGGCCTTTATGTGTTTTCTCAACTTGAATCTGATGATCTAGGTCTTGAAAAAATTAAAAATTGATAGGTGAGTACAACCACTCAATAATCAAGTTTTACTTAACCCATATAGTTGCATATTAATTGTAAATAGATA